TGGGCATTGAATACATTTCAATAATGGCCTGAAAGAAAGCAGGGAGAACAAAGTCAGTCGACGCAATATAGGAAGCTGCGCGAGTGAATTCAGATTACAAGCAAAAACTCAGAATCAGACCTGCTCTGGTGCACGAGACTGGTCAAATGGGGGAACTCTCCTGGCTCCCCTGGGATTGTCCTTGTTCCCGGTAATGCCCGACAGACACTTCTCCAGTGTGTCGTCGTCGACCTCCTCTGGGTGAATCCGAGTGGAGTCTTCAAGACCCGAATACATCCACATCGGATGGTCTCGAGCTTGAAGAGGCTGGACGCGTCGCTGAAGGAAGACCTCCAAGAGATCCATACCAGTGACCCCGTCATGAATAAGCTGGACCACTCGATTGACCAACACCTTCACATGCGCCTTCTCCTCCGGGAGCACCTTCAAAGGGGAGGGTTTCCTCACTCGGTCCATGGTAAAGGGAGGGAGGCCAGTCGATTGCCCTGGCGTCGACTGGTCTTTACAGTAAAACCAGGTCGACTGGTCTTTACAGTAAAACCAGGTCGACTGCCATCCACGAACTGAGTCAGGAAGAATCATGGTCGGAAAGGAGCTTTTTCCTCTCGTCTGAATGCCAAGACCCCCACACATCTGGATCACTTGGGTCCTCTCGTCACTCGGATTAGCCTTTTTCATTGTCTGGGAGCGACAAGTGAAAATATGCTTGAAAAGACCCCAGTGAGGCCGGCAACCCAGGAAATTCCCACACAAAGAAATGAAAGCGGCGAGATAAACGATTGAGTTGGGGGTAAAATGGTGGAGTTGTGCCCCAAAGAAGTTCAGAAACCCTCGAAAGAAAGGGTGAGGAGGCAAGGAAAATCCACGGTCGACGTGGGTGGCAAGAAGAACACGCTCACCCTCCCGAGGTTGCGGCTCAGATTCCTTCCCCGGAAGCCACGCCGAGTCATAGGGGATCAGCCCCCCTTCGGCCAGATCGTCGAGGTCTTCTTGGGCGATCCTCGAGTGGATCCAGTCGCCCTGGATCCAGCCCTTCGGCAGACCGGTCCGCGAGGAAGATCCGCCCCGGCTGGTCGCCTTCCCCTTCGACCTCGCTGTCGCCTTCTTTGCCCGCTCCAGAGCCGCCGTCTTCTCCTTCCTCATTGTCGCCGGCGAGACGCGTACGGAGCGGTGACGCTGGGGCGAGAGCGAGCGCAGCGGAGGGGCGTAAAGAGGAGAAGAGGTAATGGGAACGCGCTGTTCGGGAGACTGCGGTCCAACGCCTTATATGAGGCTGCTTCCGAGTGGCTGACGGGTAGGCCCAGGTGGCTCTGTCAAATCCCGTAATGATCGCGCGCGCGATACGTGGCGAAAAAGGTGGCGCGGGGATCGAGGTGGCTCCGCTCTATCCCATGCGATTACTGCGGCCTCCCCCGTCCCGCGCGCTTCCTAAAATTCGGATCCCACAAAATCTGCGGGTAGCAAACAACTTGTCAGATCAAAGATCTCCTCCGCACCGTCACTCGGAGCCTTACAAGTAAAGAAACTCACTCGACGAAGAATTAAGAATGGATCAAGGCGACTGAAAAGGAAGTTGTTGTCGTCACTCAGGTCCGTTGATCCGAAACAAGATACGCTCACGGCATGAAAAACGAGTCGGACAAGTTCTCAACTCCTTCCCCACTCAAACCTCGATCCATTCGGGGCTAATGATGAAGCTATGTACCTAGGGTAGGGTCATGGACCTGTCCTAACTGCCCTACCCAAGGACATCTCTAGAAGAAATCACCTTTCAATCGACTTGGAGGTGTTCCACTCGACAGACTCGAAGACATTCGACCGAGAAGCAATCACTCGACTAAGATCCAACCACTCGACAGCCAGGAGACCTAAAGTCACTCCACACGCTAACGGTCGGTCATTAAGTAGCTTTTATGGTCATCATAGCACTTTATTACTAGCGTTACCAGTAACGCCCTGCCTTAATATACATTGAATCCTTCGTAACGTGGGCTGGCCGGGGTCCTGGCGCACTCTATATAAGCCACCCCCTCCTCCGAGACAAGGGTTCGCACCCTTGTAATTCATACTCTCATAATCCAGTCGACCGCCTCCGGGCTCCGAGACGTAGGGCTATGACTTCCTTCGAGAAGGCCCTGAACTCGTAAACCTTACGTTCTTACAACTTCTCCACAGCTAAGATCTTGCCTCTTCATACTTACCCCCCTACACTACTGTCAGACTTGGAACCACGACAGAGGGCAAAGCTAGGCAGGCAGTAATGGATGTAGCAGTTCTAGCAATTTCGAACAGTACTGTAACTGTTCTGCTGTTGCCGTCTACGCACGCTCCACTGCTACGAGCATTGCAGTTCGTTCTAGCTCGTTGTACTGTGCGTGTGCTCCTTGACGTACACTGATTGCAAGGAATACATGCTGATCGATAGGTTTCAGGGCACAGTAATAAAGCCTGGAAGTGGAGGAGAAGACGCTAGAGAGGCAGCCCTCAAAAGATTTGAGTGGTCTGTGGTGTGGTGGATTTATTTCAACTAGTCACATTTTTTGGATTAGTGTTTTCTGAACCATTAATCTGCGATGTGACTTGACCAGTGCTTTCATTTAGAAGACTTGAGAAGTGCTTAGTTTTACTTGAATTATATATATATATATATATATATATATATATATATATATATATATATATATATATCACTCCCAAACTGTTCCTCACTTGTGGCTCTGTGCATCCTTCATGTAGATGTCAGGGAAAACCCTCCTTAAAAAGAAAGTTTCTCACTTGTCAGTTAATCGGCTCAACAATTTACAAACTTGTACTAATACCTAGTAGTTACTTACACGGTTAACCCACATGTAGTGGTGATAAACCATGGGCCTGTATTTGTTGGGTAGTACTACCAAAGATCGGAAAGGGATAGATAAATTCTCTGAAAGTGAAGGGTCATGTGCAATGGGCGTTAATGGATGTGCAGTAGTAAATTTGAGCAGTTGTAGCATGTGACATGTTGTTGCCGTCTACGCACGCTCTACTGCCACGAGCCATGTAGTTTGTTCTAGCTCGTGATACTGTGCGTGTGATCCGTAGAGCATCTCCTCTGCTTTCTCCCTTAATGTCCGTACGAACAAGTGAGATACTGCACGGACAAAAAATTGCTACTCAACCGAGCCCCTTAAATCCAGGTCAAATGAGGGTTGTCCGGCATCGCTTATTATCCTGTCCATATGTTGGGCAGACATAGGAGCGTTTGGACACGGCAACCAAGCAGGATCCGGACCACGCTGGATCATCTTGATCCCACAACCCCCCCACCCCCCCCCACCCCCTATCAAACCCTAACAACTTCCGCTTTACTCTTCTCGTCTGATGACCTTCCCTAGCCGGACCATAGCCGGATCCAACAGTGGCACCTCGCCCAAAGCCAAACCCGATGATTAGGATGCCCTTGTGGCAGAGCCAAACGAGAAGCTCGCCATCCGAGTTGCCCTTCGTCAGTCGCGAGTTGATAAGGGCGGATCCTCCTCCTTTGTTCACTCCCCGTGGCTCCATCCGGGGCTCCTCCTTCTCCGTGCACTTCCCGATGACCTGGTGGGGCTCCTCATCTACACACGACGACATCGATTCATGGCGGTCTACGTTCGGCTCTTGAAGCCCTGGGCCGTCACCTCTGGCCCGCTCCTCTCGGCGGCGCTAGTGCTAGTGCTGGCATTGTCGAGCCCGTGGCCGTGCTCCTTGAGTCGGAGGCGGGGCAGCTTACCGTGCAAGGCAGGTGCCCCGGGCAGGATCTAGCCGGTCCGTCTGAGGATCATGCAGATCTACACCCGTTGCCCTGCCCTCAGACTCAAAGGACGAGCTGGTCCGTGGCGTCATCCGCCGTTCCTTGACCACGGCGCAGACGAATGCTTGCAACTGCCGCTCCAGAAATGCCATGCCATGCGACTCAGCCTTGAGGAGTCAGAGCGGCTCACCAAGGAGGAGGCGGCCAACGCGGCAAAAGCGGAGCGCCTCACCAAGGAGCATGCTTGTGCCGCCTTGGAGCATCCGGGTTGTCATGCACGGCTTCATCAACTCGCTCACGGTTGAGGGCCCCGACAACTTCAAGCTATGCCCTATCTTCCTACATGTAGTTTGCTTGGAGTGGTAACGGGGTTGTGTAACTCTTTTTAGGCACCATTGTATCTTGTCCTGGATGTATACTATGGTGTCGAGTCGTACGATGATTGTTGCTTTATATATAAAACAGGACACAGACCCTTTTATTAAAGCAATTGCACAATCTAATTCCTTGACAGGATGCACTCCCTCCACAATTCACTTAGGGCATGTACAATGGTTAATAAGATAATTTTATCTTAAACCTTGCATGTAATTTAGAGATGATAAAAGAAACATGTCTATAATGGGTCATTTCTTAAACTTATCTCAATAACTAGCAATTTCCCAAAAGTGTGTTGAGACATATTATGTTAATAGATCATCTCTTAAATAAGAGAAGACAAACATTTTCTTATGATTTCTTTCTCCTCCATCTCAGCATTTATTCTACTTGGCACTGATAAGATAGCACCATTGTGCATGCCCGTAACGACCAATCCCAGCCTTGTCCTAAAAGCAATTGCATGATCTAATTCGTTGACAGGATGTAGCACCATGAGTGTCCAATTTCAGTTAACCGCCCATCCGAGCATTGTCTGCCGTCTTGCCTGTTAACCGCAGTGCATTAAACCCCCGCACAGGGCACCGCTTGCGCACCGCCACGATCGACCACGTCGCCCCGCCGCCGTACGTACCCGTGCGCACATGCTCTCGGCCATCGCCGCACTCCCTAGAGCAGACGCTTCCCACTCGCCCTCTCGCCGCGCACGCCGCCTATAAAACTCCCGTGACCCCCCGACCTAGCTACGGCGTTCGTGCGCTAGACACGAGGCGAACACTAGCTAGCTACTCCCTCCGTTCCAAGATCACAACTCACAAGTAGAGATCGACCGGGCTTGACCTTGAGCGCGATGGACGCGGCGGCGCAGGCGGGGAGGAGGAGGCCGTCGGAGGTGAGGGCGGAGGGGCTGATGCGGGGCGCGTGCGCCGCCCTGGCGACGGCGTCGGCGCTGCTGATGGGGCTGGACACGCAGACGGAGACCGTGCTGCTCATCAGGAAGAAGGCCACCGTCAAGGACGTCCACGCTCTCTGGTGAGCTAACTAGCTAGCAAACAAGTACCCTGTGCGGCCGTGATTTGTGCACGTGTGATCGTCTGACTGAGCGTGAAACGTGCGTGCGTGCAGGGTGCTGACGGCGGCGGCCGGCGCGGCGGCGGGGTACCACCTGCTGCACCTGCTCCGGTGCCTCTACCTCGGCCGCTTCGCCCACAACCCCTGCCGCAACAGCAAGGCCCTGGCGTGGGCTTTCCTCCTCCTCGACAAGGTACATACTGCACTATTCCGATCACTCTCCTGACGCCTCCGGCCCTGAATGTTTCTTCTGCACAGTCTCCAGTTCGGTATCCCATGGTCGGCCAGTCCCTCTGTTACTTTGGGTTTCAGCCACAACCGGAACCACCGAATTTCAGTGGTTTTCAGTTTGTGGCCAAAACATTCACTTGAAATTGAACAACAACAAAATAGTAAACACGAAAAATATTTGAATCCCTCAGTACTAATGAGACCGCTGAAATATTTTGACTGGAAGGTAAATATATAGTACAGTATATTTTAGCGCGTGCTGAAATCATTGAAATTGGGTGAATTTCGTCGACATCTTACTGAAAGTGAAAGCCATATCACTGTTACCCTGTGCTCATTTCCGCTCGACACACTAGACACCGTTCTGTGCCCGGCGCCTAATTAATCAACACGAGCACTATAGAGCATGCATGAATTCTGATCAGCACCGGCGAATTAAACAAGATAGGCACTGACTGGCAGCTCATTGATCGCCCGACGGCGACCTGGCGGCGACCGGAGCAACCGCGCTTCAATTCCGCGACAGGAATAGGAAACAGTTTTCAGAGGCTATGAACAGGGAACAGTTAGCACTGAGCTATCGTCTGATCGATCGGTCCCCGTCATGATAACAACGATTCTACTGCAAATGGTAGCCAGCATCTTCCTTTCTCGCCGTCACCGTTGCCATCTACCAACGGCTCCTCACGGCAGGTCTCCCGGACTGGCAAATCAGACCAGGACAGTGCACTGCGCTGCGGCGTTAGATGTTGCAGCTGCGCCGCTGTTTTTCATTCATGTTTCCATCAATGCGTCGAGGGCCAGCCCAGATCATTTTGGGTTCCCCATCGGAAAAGATCGGCGCATTCAAGTTTCCAAGTGCCTGGTGCTGCACATGCATGCATGTCCATCCAATTATGTGCAGCTGATTTAGATAAATCGAAGTTTCATGTGCCATGCATGTCGATAATCTTTTTTATTTATAAATTTGATCAGACTTTACAAGCTCTCTATTTTCTTTTATATAAAGTACTCCGCGCGTTTATTGTCTCTTTCTAGAACACTGTTGGCTAGTCTAGAACCATGCGCGTTTTGGATAAACTAACTATTTATTGTCTCTTTCTAGAACACTGCTTGTAGATAGCATATTTGTTGTCTGTGTCAAGACGGAGCAACCAGCCATACAACTTCAGTTATCAATAGTGTCCAACATTTTAGTTTAGGGTGTGTCTAGGTCTTAATCGACTGAGACTTAACCAAATCTTAGTTAAGTGATAGTGTACATGGGAAGAAAAAGGAAAAAACTGAAAAGAATTTTTTGTACGAATCTCAATGCAAGATCAATGAAATACAACATCGATTGAGACATAACGAAGTCTAAGTCGACTGAGACTTAGCAAAACTGTTTAGTTTATCCGTGCTTGTCTTTTTGATACTGTGCATACCTAGAATTGCCTTTTTTTGTTTCTCTCAATTCAAAACTAATTTGGATTTCCAAATTTTATGGGGCTGTAGAAAAATTTCTTATTGACGCGCTCAATTGTTTCCCATGAAATTCACAGCTTTGTAGGATGTTACCGTGCGTTCGTAACACGGTAACACTCAAAGAACTTGTAGCACTAGAACTCTTCTGATTTTTCACGACAGGAGTAGACACAAACACACAATTATTACTAACTTTTGTGGGGAAAAAATACCGAAAGCAACCTAGGCATGCACAGTACTAGAACGCAAATAATAAATGAGGCAAACTGCATCCATTCAATCCGCAGCACATAGTCATATGGGTGGGTCAGGGTGGGTTAGCTCACAAATTTAAGAGAGGTTTGTTCATTTGGTTTCTGAGATATGGCTTGCCACATTGACCATTTTTGGTACAAATTTCAGAGTTAGCTGTGATTATTCCAGGATATATTTCAGCCGGTTAATTTGCTACTGTCTTCTAGAAGGAAAAAAAGACCTTACTACTGCTGATTTTACAGCGTCAAAAGGCATTCATCGAGTTAATCTAATGGCATTATAAGCTGAAAAACACGTAAAGTTAACTGTATGTGCCTGATGGCGTGCGCGGTGCAGGGGTGCGCGTACGTGACGTTCGCGGCGACGGTGGCGGCGGCGCAGGCGTGCCTGATCGCGCTGGACGGCGCGCAGGCGCTGCAGTGGAACAAGGTCTGCAACATCTTCACCCGCTTCTGCCAGCAGGTCGCCGGGAGCCTCGTCTGCGGCGGGCTCGCCGCCGCCGGCACCGCCGTCCTCTCCGCGCTCTCCGCCCGCAACCTCTTCCGCCTCTACCCCTCGCTCTCCCACCCGCACCCGCACCCGCACCCGCACCGCTCCTCCTCCACAAAGTAGGCGGCCCGGCCCATCGTCATACAGGGTGGGCTCCCCGAGCGCTAGCTAGTGTTGTTGGGCTGAAAACGCTCGGCCCGATTACACCCAAGTTAGCTCCTTCTTGGGCTTCTCTTCTGTTCGATATGTAGACTAAAAAAAAATTCTCTGTTCGATATGTTACTACTAGTGTGAGAAGGCTGCTCCAAAAAAAACTAGTGTGAGTGTACTGCAGTAGCGTATTTGCCCCCCAAAAAATATGTATTAGTGTGTTTGTATGTATGTATTCTCCGTGTATTGTTCATAGACCGTGTAACCTCCTCCAGCACCTTGAGCGTTCATGAAACCAGTATTACTCATATCACTGGATCCCAGAATAATGTCAAGCAATTGTTTAGCTAATTATGCCGTTGAGCTATATTTAGCTGATTGTAATCATGTTGGTGATTGAGTAATACAAGTGTTCTACTCGCAAAAAAAAAAGACCATGTAACCTCTTCTATGTTGATACTACGAGCAGCAGCCACATGAATGAAATGTGTTTTCAGAGAGAAATTGTTGCCCTGCAAAAATGTGCAGGCCCTGTTTGGAACACAGAATAGACGAACTGATTGCAGTGGAAAAATATTCACTGCAAAATTGTCTTGTTCGCGCAATAAACATACTGATTCCAGTGATATTCATTCAGTTCGTCTGGCCTGATTTTGATCAGGTATCATCCAAGAGTCCAATACTGCTTATAGTTGAACACCACCGTGCTGTGTGCAAATTGAGCAAAAATATGTTCTTCCTGACAGAACATCAATTTATCCAAGAAAGGAGAAAACCTGATCCGGAAGTAAAGTCCATCTATAATTCTATTAGACAGGGAGAAATATTAATAAGAGCAGCAAGCACTCAAACCCCGAAACGGACGATCCACTAGAACAAATGATTTTTTTTAGGTCACTAGAACAAATGAGTTTAATTCAACTTGTGGTATAAATCATAAGCGGTATACATTATAATCAGCCTTTGTTGTCAAAAAAAAGAGTTGGTATCTATACATGACAGGATACACATCATCGAACGAACAAACAAATCATATAACTTAGCCATCTAATTGAAAAAATCGACGACCATGTGCCAGCCAGCCCTTCTATATGTAATAATAATAATAATAATAATAATAATAATAATAATAATAATGCCATTTCATTGAGAACATTACATGATTTTGGACAGAGGTGTGTGTGTGTGTGTGTGTGTGTGTGTAAGATGGGACTCAGCTTTTGGACTGTGTGCTTTCACTGCCTGGGATGCCTGCAGCAAGCTTTGCTCTCAGGTCCTTCCTGAGGATCTTGCCAGCAGGACTCTTCGGAACCGAGTCAGCGAAGAAAACTTTGTGGATCCTCTTGTAGAAAACGACCTGCAATAATATTGCACAATTTGTTAGGTTTTTGAAGTCTCACATCTGCACTGAATTGGTGAAGATACATGAACCAATGCAAACATTTGATGCTCTCTTCAGTCTTGTAAAATAACATGCTGGATGGCCGGTATGCCTCACAGTTCACAAATCACATGTTGTAAATTATGCCCTCTTCAGAATTTTGTTAAAAATTGTACTGTTTGTGGCAACTTTGCCTGTTTCTCTATTTGTGCGTCATACTTGAATGTATGGTAAGTGGACGACTAGTTATTACCTCTTTTGCAACGAACTGCTTGATCTCGCTCTCGCTGATCTCAGAGCCTTCAATCCGCACAATGAATGCAACTGGAACTTCACCAGTAAGTTCATCTTGCATCCTGCAAAAAATGAAGACCAGCTAAATTTAATCACCTACTCTTGACATGGACCAAATGGATCCTAAATCCCTTAGAACAGTCTATCAACTTACGATACGACAGCAGCATCTTTGATTTCGGCGTGTGTGATGAGAAGGGCTTCGAGTTCCGCAGGAGGTACTTGGAATCCCTTGTATTTGATTATCTCCTTGAGCCTGTCGACAATGAAGATCTCGTCGTCATCATCGACATAGCCAATGTCTCCAGTATGCAGCCAACCGTCCTTGTCAATGGTGTTCTTTGTGGACTCTGGGTCATTTAGGTAACCTGCAATCATAGGCTTGGTCATTTATACATGAGTTGTTTTCTTTGATCATCATGATGCATATTAAGATTTTTTGTTGTTTCCCTAAAAAGTTCATATCAATGGCTAAGCATGTGTGGCTGGTGTAGTTAGTTGGAGAAATTACAGAAATAGTCCAAGTGAACAGCTAGAATTTGCGGTAAAAACGCTACTGAGTGGAATGAATCTCATCTTAAGGTCTGAAACTTGTCTACCTGGTAATAGTTCGTATCCATTTAAGTTGCAGTCTAGAGTAAACAGTACATGTATCTTTTGGGAGTACATATATTGTTGTGAAAAATAAAATCTTGAATAATTCTTCAATTTCGTAGTCACTGAACACGCATCCAGCTGTCTGCGAAAGCGACATACTGATCATATCCGAATTCTATATGTATTTAGATAGTTTTCAAACAGAAAGAAGAATCCACACTCCATGTAATAAAGGCTTACAAAAATATGGAAGGGAGCATGAAGCAAAAAAAAAAAGTTTTTCTCCTCCTTTCGAAAAAAAAGAAAGTTTTGCTGGGTTGAAGTTTGCAAACTCTCATGTATTAGTAAAGTGAGGGAGCGCTTCTTCTGGCATTAGTTTCAGAGCATGAAGGGGCATACATGGGAAATGGACAAAATTAGGAATCGTCAACATTCCCATCCAGTTGCCATCATGTGTGGTTGTATGTAATCATGGGTGGCTACAGCCCACAGGACAGCCTGTTGCCACAATGTATCCAATCATTCATAGTACAAGGTATCCATACGCAAAAAAAAATCGTATCCATACGCAAGTCAGAAGGAGCTAAACATCTCCACCTCACCACATGTGCTAGGTCAAACAACTTAGTTCTACTTGTAACTGTTAAAAACAAGCAGAAAGGCAGGCTTTGTTTTCTTATGCTAATGATAGACCTAAGCTTGGCCATTTCCCACAAAAATATAAGCATAGACTTTTAAGCAAAGATAAGTAGTCATGTGTGGGAGTTTGTTGTGGATTCTTGGAGTACTTGGGAAAATGCTTTCACATGGCCAGCATGCTGCATCAACGAATGCAAGCTATGTAGTCATGTGTGGGAGTTTGTTGTGGATTCTTTGGAGTACTACTCAGAGGCTTGGTTGCACTGCTGGAACCCCATGTACATGTAGCACATAACTGGACCGTGACCTACAACTTAATTCGGAACCTTCGACGTTTCGGGGGATGATTGTGCGGCCTTAGCCAAAACCAAAATGCTCGACCGCGAAACGTACAGTTCAGTCAGATTGGCAGCACCTTAAAAATATCCCCTTTCTTTCTGAAAAATACAATCTTATTTGTAACCAAGGTCTTCTAGTCCAGTAAAATTGACCAGATAAACCTTGTCGCGGTGGGGTCCATGTCAAAAGGCCGATAACTAAAACTACTGTAGTACCGAACCAAAAAAAAGAAGGAAAAACAGTACTCCCTCCGTTCATTATTATAAGACGTTTTGGACAGCTAGCTTTGAACTGTTTTGGGCACTGTCTGAATTGTCTAGAACGTCTTATAAAAGTGAACAGAGGAAGTAGTTATCTGCTTCGCCTGAATGCAGATAGGAAAAGGAGTGACAATTCGTCTGAAAACTCGGTGAAAACGGTGGCTGACGCTGTGCACGACGCATGCGCGCGGCAACATGCCAAGGCCAGGCCTTGGAGACGCTTGCGCAATCTGCCGGCCTTTTTCCTTGTCGCCATTGCCCAAGCGGTGCAAGTACATCTGAATCTGAGAGATGCGTATGGCCTCAGACCTTCAGTTCAGGGTGCTCCATTATTGACGTGTGAGGCGCCAGTGCGACGATTGCTAGCACGGCGAGAGCAGTCAGGACGCGCATGCTGCTGCTAAAGCCAAAAGGGTGCCGCCGGCTCATCGACTGACGCACGCCGTCGCCGTCGATGGGCTAGCCGACGATGATTTGCCAACAGTTGCCGAGGGCCAAGGAGGCGTGCTTCAGAAGGGAATCATCTCCTACTAGTACTACGTGGGTGTTAGGTTGGATCGAGCGGACTCACCGGTCACCAGCGACTAGTACCTAACTGGAGACCGACCGACGGGCCGACCGATCGGTGCACCGAGCATCTGGTCAGGTGAGCACAAGGTGGAAGAAGCTCTGGTCCGTGCAGCTACCGATCACTCAGATTAGTCTAGCCGCCCGTCCGTTCGCTGGCTGGCTAGTGGCCAAACGTAGCGGACGGAGACAGAACACGAGCACACATGCGTGCAGGCGACTGAACTGCTGGAAATGCAGCATGTTGGATACGTGCCACGCCTGCTTATCTATCTGCCCGAAAGTGCCGTCAGAAACGGGTGAAGTTGCTGCAGCTGCGGCCAATAATTTGGGCTCCGGAGCTGGAGACGGAGCAGTCCGAACCGATCACCTAACCAGCAGTGGTACTCCTACTACAGCATCTACTCGTGAGCTACCCTGCGACTAGTCGCGAACCACTCGCTCACCTAATCAGCGAGCTAGTCATGGAACAGTGGATCACGTCGTCGTGCCGTCCACGTCGTTGCCACTCCTGAGCGGTGACCAGACACGGCGGCACTGTACCATTTTTGGTTGGACATTTTGTTCGAAAAATGAATAAGCTTGTGTCTGAATGTGCGCGCACGCACGTACAGTACCTTTCATGATCTGGTTGCCGCGGATGCAGATCTCCCCCGGCAGGTTGCGGCCGAGGGAGGCGCCGGTGTCGGGGTCCACGATCTTGAGCTCCGCGTTCCGCACCACCGTGCCGCACGACCCCGACTTGACCCCGAACGGCTCCTTGGCGAACGCCAGGCACATGGACAGCACCGGCCCGGCCTCCGTCATCCCGTACCCCTGCACACGCATTGCAAAACAGAGAGATCATCAGCCCCCCGGTCACCACGTTCTGCTGACGATCAACACGCTGTAATTTCAACCCGAGTGATATATGTTCAGTTTTAAGTAAAGAAGATTCAGACATGCAAGATCAATCCTGCTGAGAGCGACTTGTCGACCGGAAAGTCTGACGGTTGGCGGTTGGCACTATAGAAAGCAAACGCTGGCTTGCCGCGACGGCAACCCGCCCGCCGGGATCATGGGGGTGGCGTGCGTTCGCTTCAGTTGGGATGAAGGTGAAGCCGTCATGGAGCGTAAAGGTTGGGATGTCGCCATATCCCGCACCCAAAAGCACGACGCCACCATGCCACCCACCCACCAAAGTGCGACCTTGGCTCGCGCGCCGGGCCACTAGCCAGCCCATCCCAATCGCCTCCCCGATGCCCCAACAACCATTGATGATCTTTCGAGGTGCAAGCAATCATTGGATATGGATTCGAAGTGCGAGAGCGGGGCCGGTGCGCGACGAACCTGCCCGAGCACGGCGTTGGGGATCTTGGCCATGAAGGCGTCCTGGAGGTCCTTGCCCATGGGGGCCGCGCCGGACATGACCATGCGGATGGACGCGAGGTCGGCGGCCGTCACCCGGTCGCTCTTGGCGATCTCGACGACGATGGGCGGCACGAAGGGCGCCACGGTGACCGCGTGCGCGCGCACCAGGCGCACCAGCGCGCCGTGGTCGAACTTGCGCATGATCACGATCGCGCACCCGGCGCGCAGCCCCGCCAGCAGCACCGAGTTGAGCGAGTAGATGTGGAACAGCGGCAGCACGCACAGCAGTACGTCATTCGGGCCGAAATACAAGTTCGGGTTCTCCCCGTCCACCTGCACGCACACACAGTCAAAAAATTTGAAATTCAGAAACGAGATGTTCAGCAAATTTGAAACATTTTTGGGTCGGCGAAGTTTGAATTGGGAAATGTGATCGTGCGTGGGCGCGAATCTTGGCGCTGGTTGGCGGGCCCTGCGTGGGTCACGTCGGCCCGTCGAATCCGATCCGATCCGATCCGGGTAATAAATGGCGCGGCGTTATTTTAAGCAGGGGAGTAATTGGTCGGTCGCTGGGCTCCGGCGCCGACGGAGAGGCGCGTGATGGGGAAAAGGAACGTCCCGGGATGGAAAGCGTAAAGCGAGGCCACGAGAAACGTAAATGGGAAGCTCGCCTGGCCCCTGAAGGATCCGCGGCTCCGTCCAGCCAGTGGCAATGGAGGTGGAAGCATAGCGGGGAGTGAGCTGAGCTGACCTGCTGCGCGACGCTGGTGACGAGGCTGCGGTGGGTGAGCATGACGCCCTTGGGCAGCCCCGTGGTGCCGGACGAGTAGGGGAGGGCCACCACGTCGTCGGGGTCGACCTGCTCGTCGGCGGCGAGCGGCTCCGCGGGCAGCAGGGCCTCGTCGAACGCGAGGCAGCCGGCGTCGTCGGAGGCCGGCCCGTCGACGGTGACCACGGGGATCCCGCGCTCGGCGGCGAAGGCGCGCACCTTGTCGACGGCGCAGGCCTCGGTGACGATCAGCCGCGCCCCGGCCGCGCTCGCCTGGCGGTGGATCTCGTGCGGCGTGCAGAACGGGTTGGCGGTGGTGGTGGCGGCGCCCAGCCGGGCCGCGCCGAGGAACACGAAGGCGAACTCCGGGCAGTTGCGGAGCAGGTTCATGACCACGTCGCCCTTCCCCACGCCGAGCCGCCGCAGCCCCGCCGCGCAGCGGCGGGAGAGCTCTGACACCTCCGCGTAGGTGTGCACGGCGCCCGTCTGCCCGTCGATGAGGCAGGGCCGGGCGGCCACCTCCGGCAGCCGCTCGAAGCAGTAGTCCTGGAGCGTGAGGTGCGCCGGGATCTCGATGTCCGGCAGCCTGGACCGGAACACCGTCTCCGTCGCCTCCGGCGCGTCCGCCGCCACGGAGCCCATGGATCTCGCCGCCGGCGCCGGCTCGGGTCGGCCTGTCTCCCGGCGGAAGAAATCGGCGTGGGGCGAGAAATGGGGGGGCCGGGATCCCGTGGGCGTGCGTGCTCTGCTCCGGCTCCTGGGGAGGGGAGGAATTTGGGCGCGGGGGTTAAATATACCGGCGCGGCGGGGGAGAAGGTGGGTGGGGAGGATGACGCGCGGGGCCCGCCTGGCGGTGGGAGCGGGTAGCGTCTCCGGTGAGCGAACGGGTTGGTAGCGTAAAGCAACGCTGATCTGACCTCGCTTTGACTTTTTAACCTGACCAGTAACGCCGGCGTTGGCGGCGACGTACGGTGGCGTAAAGTCGTCGCCGGCGGTGGGCGGGCCGTCGGCCGTCGTGGCGGTTTGCGCCTGGGATGGCGTGGCGTCGCACGGAGCACGTTGACATCACTCGTCAGTGTTCCCACCACCAAAGAAAAATTTGTCAGCGAAGCACGACTATGTGGGATTTTGACATCGGAGTCTCGTAGAGAGAAAGTGGGGAGACAAAAGAACAGACATCAGTGACCAACAACTGTTGAGGTTGGAAGTAATTTGGATGTTTTTTAATATTACCTCCTTATAAAAAACTAGTAATTTGGATGTTTTTTAATATTACCTCCTTGTAAAAAAAACTTGTCAACAAGACTAAGAAACAACAATCATGATCCGAGTTTTAGCGAAGAGTTTTTTGACACTCATAATATCCGTGTGCTCATACTAGTTCGTCGTCGCTTCCCACATTGCCCTATGTAGGGCCAACATTATGGTTGAGACTCTGGAGGTGCAGATCATGCTTGAGCTATGAGGGTTGTTTCTAGTGCATGTTTCGTCTATCACAATCGAGCATACTTGCTTGAGGCCATATTCGCTTTCGAGGAGAGTGGTGCTTTGACGTCACATGCATTGTTGAAAAAATTGGTGTGCCTTGCACCAATGGTAAGGAGGGTAAAGATGATAAGGGTGTACGATAGTGCTACGGAGCCATGTCATAGGGTCCAGTGGAGTTTATCGATAAGTTTATTTGCACAACGAGGACGACTCTTTGCTCTAGATAGAGTCGGCCTCGCACGTGGAAGAGGCCACTACATATCACGCTAAGAGGTGTGTCGGTTGTTTCGATAAGAACAACAAAGAACGCAACATCCCAGCGACCAAGGGCGCTGAGCATGGGTTGTTGGGTGCTTCTAGGGAGTAGTCGACAAATAATAAATGGAAAGTCCTCGCGGATGCGAGGGAGAGGCTGGATTCATATCTACAAACATACAAGAAGCCCCTCGCGTTGAAGGTGGTCGAGGAAAAATAAATTGAAAAACTGAAGTCGTCTAAAAGAGGTATACTTTGTTAGGCTAATATCCCATACAAAGTACATATGACAACCTCAAGAGTCAACTCTGGCTTATAGTTTGAAGCATGTTTGTTGCAAAGGCAGTCGCAACCAGGAAACGACTGATTTTCAAAAAGCATTCATAGCAAGAGGACGAGATACAATGTTTTACTTTCTATGAATGTGGGCTAATTTGTAATTACGCGTAGTAGAAGATGCATTGAAGAAATTCGCCCGAAAGAGCCTCACGTTCCAATGCTGCAAGGAGATTCCTTGCTTTTGCAACATTGGCCAAAGGTTTACAGTATGTGGGATACGTTCTTTCGTCTAGAGCATTCACAGCTAGAGTCGCAACATGTAATCTTGTAGCTTTAGCTTGCAAAATAGAAGGCACATATCAAATGTTAGAGAGTTGTAACTTGTAAGCTGCATCCACAAATGATAAAAGACCTACAATCTAGGAGATCTTTCATAACATAGTGAACCTGCAAGGGAGACCAAACCTTTTTTTGATGAAGAGAAGATAATTATGAGCCTTCCGTATATTTCAAAGTAATTATGCCTTGCTAAGCACTGACTCCAAAGGCGTAGGTGTGCCTCACGTGGGCTCACCAATGTTGAATTAGTGATGCTTAGTTGGGAGATCAATGATAGATTGGAAATTTTCTTGGAAGACCGACCACCACGCATGTCTTGTTGCAAGAGTATTTCCAAGGCTAGGGAGATCAGAACTGTTAGAGACGATATTGTCCCCGCCCCCAATGACAGCTCAATGGGTAGTGTGTGTGTGTGTG